CCCCAAAACCCCAAAACCCCGTTGAGGTGAACGAATGACTATTTTGCTAATTATAATTGCTCATATATTATCTACAAAATAATCATTACTCATAAAATTTAAAATGGCAATATCATTGAAAAATATTAAGTCCTTAGTTAAAAAGAAACAACAGTAGAATCAAATAGTGGAAGAAGTTAAATAAGAAGAATTAAAAACTACACTCAATTAACAAGAGATTATTTAACCATTTTTAGATTCATTTTCTATAAATGCTGTAAAATAGTTTGATATAGAAGATTTTAAAGTTAAAGGAACAGATTAAGCTTACTATATTAAGAACTATATAAGTATAGAGAGTGAGTAGCATTTGCTAAATTGCATTACTAAATTGGATCAAGATAGGTGGTTTGAGATGAAATCAGGCAGAGCTTTAAAAAGATATGGAGGTGAGGTTGGATCAAATGGTTTATTAAATTAAGAATCTCTCCCATCTTATTTTGAAATAATAGCTTAAAATTTAAGTGACTCAGGAATTTTTCCAGAATACAAACCAAATCATGTGCTTTTAAATAAATATAGACCAGGAGATGGTATCTTTGCTCACAAAGATGGGCCTTCTTATTTCCCTTTCGTTTGCATTTTGAGTCTCAATAGTGGGATTATCTTGTATGTAAAGGAGACACTTGAGGGTCTTAATGAGAGGAAAAATTATAGAGCTAGATTCTATCTTGAGCCTAGGTCATTGTTTATTTTCACTTAAACGCATTATGATACTCATTTCCACGGTATTGATGAAGATTTAGAAGATGTGGTTTCAATAAAAAATGACAATGATTTTAAAGTTGATAATTTGGAGATGACTGATATTTTGTAAACATATTAAGCTGGTGAGGATGGACTTATTCATATCCCAAGAGTTGAAGAAAGATTATCATTAACTATTAGGTATGTCCCATCATTGTAAGAATGAGAGTAATTATAATAATAATTATTTTAAATGTATTTTGCTATTTTAGACAATTTCTAATTCGATTAATTTCTCATTCACGGGGTTTTGGGGTTTTGGGGTTTTGGGG